GCAGCTAGGAAAATTGAAAATTAAGAGTAATAATTTAATTGCATTAGAATCGAAAGTAAAAGAACTTATAGCAGAAGCTGAAATTCAAAGTCAAATAGAATATCAAAATAAAGCTGAATATCAAAATAAAACTTATTACTACTTTTCTCTATTGTAGAAATGTTTGCAATTGAATAAGAGGATCATAGTTTTCAGGGGTGCTTTACACTTTCTTGTTTTAAATGATAGAGTTGAAATTTTAACATCAAGGGGGTTTTTTAATGTGTTCCCAACAAAGGAAATGAATAGATTCCTGATATTGATATTTTTTTATCCCAATTTCTTGTGATTTATGTTATTTCCAATATGCATTTGTTCTTACCGAATGAGTTAAAGTATAGTAGGCACTTATTTTTTGTCTTATTTGCCTGCTCTTAGCTTCATGTCTGAGATGAGAGATACTTAACAATACAAGAAGTCATCTTAGGAACCCTTTCTGATACGGAATTAGAAGATTTTTCAGTCAGAGCTTTGCCCAGAAAAAGATGATAAGAAATTAGTTGATACAAAAAACATAAATAGAAACATTTTATAGCCTGTAATTCCATTCTATACCTCTGGGATGAATATGGTTTTTATAAGCAATATTAGAGCTAATGAAGTGAAAAACTAATTCCAGGAACGAGAGCAAATAAAAATAAATTTAAGCGCTATTTTAAATTCGAACAAGAAAGTGAAATTCGATGAGCAAGAATATTTAAAGAATTGGAAAGCTTGAAACAGTTTTTTTAAAAAAGTATACTTAACTCATAAACTGTGTTCCTCTTAGTATATTTTAAACACAACTTCTGGAGAATATGTAGAGTATTTCGCCAATATATGATCACTTTATGCTTAATTGAAAGTATAAACTATTAATGCATTTAAAAATTTATATTTTACATTTTTAGGTTTCTAAGTGAACAACACTCTGTTTCCGGCTACTCATTTTATTCTATTGGAATGGAGCTAAAGAAATCGTAACCATCATAAATAAAAAAAGCTCCTCCCAAAGGCCAATGTTTCTAAAATAGAGCCTCGTTAAAAAGAAACTTAAAAAGTTCTTTCACCATTTTTTTTTAAATTTAATTGTTATTAAATATTTGTTATTAGGATAATCCTTCCTTAACCCTTTCGCGCCGACTGTCACGAATATGTGCCATCATAAAACCGTATCTAACAGGGTAAAAGATAAAACTGGTAACCAAAATAGTTCTCTAGCAGTTTATTTGTGGGCGGGGTTATAATTGTTTGATTTATTTAATTCACCATTACTTTAGTTCAAAATAAAGTTATTTAGTTATACTTTGAACTAATATTGATTATATATATAATTAAACCACCAATAATTAATGTAAAAGCAAATTAAGTCTGTCAAATTAGTAACGCCTACATTTAAGCTATAGTTTTTTATTTATTTACATCTTGATTCTGATTTTGTACGAATGCTTTTATGAATCACCCGTCCCCAAGAGGTTAATCTTCTTCGGTTAAATACCACATTAAATCGCTTGATTGTGGTAAATTTTGTCTATCATGAGTTAGCTTGACTATCAATCACCTCAAACAACAGCATCATGTCAAATGATATTGAATAGTTAATCTTTATTTTGAAGAGATGAACTATTAGTGTTTTGTTTAATCTAATACCATATAGACATTGCAAAGTGAATAAATAATGATAAATAACAAAAATAGAATTATGTTAGCTATTTTAATTCTGTTGATATCTGTCTATTAGTTTCGTGTAATATTTCACAGTGTTGGCCAGTGCTGATTTATTAATTGTTCCTTTTTTTCACTCCATGCAGTTTACGGATGTTCAGCTTATACCTCCTAAACAATTTGTGTTTGCTAACACGTAGAAAAGAGAAATGTCCAGTCTCTGATTCTAAAAATCGTTCCAAAAAGTATTCCATTTAGTTCATTTGAAAGAGACACGCGAAAAGTGATTTGTTTCTCAAAGGTTTACAATTACGCATTGTTACGAACTAAAATTCTGACGGTTATGTTTTATCAATAATTTAAAGATGTTTAAGATGTATTGATGTTTTTTTTTTAAATCTCTTTATTAAAAATGAATTTTACTAGGGACTATTGAATGATATTCAGTTATTATATAATTTTGTTTTATTAAGTCAGATGAGCTCAAGCGAAATGAAAGTGATGTGGAATCCTAGAATTGGGTACTCGCACTTCATTAATATCTAGACATGTGACCTCTTGGATGTTTTGCGCCTGCTCACGCATGAAATTGAAAATGGAATTTTCCATAGATCTGCTTCTGAAATTATATAACTTCCTTCTTATCGTAGTTTTAAGTAGTGGGGGAGAGAGTGCTTACGAAATCTGCAGACAGAACGCATCTTTTAGCTATCCGAGATTTGTTTTAAATTTACAGTATACTCTTCATTAATTTTGGTTTTCTCGAAAATAAACATTGAAATAATTAAACATCTCATTTCCTGGATGGGGATTTCTATTTGAGTGATTGTGCATATTCTATTCGACTATTCGCGAGTTAGATCTTTTCGGAATGATCGTGAAATGCAAGGGATACGAAATTATAAAATTGAGCAATAGTAAAACAACATAATTATTATAAAGAATCATGAAAGTTTTGATGCATCAGTAACTGATCTTTTTTATATACTATTATTATCAAAATCATCATAAGAATAACACTTGAAGACCTATTATTCCTACGTGATAGAGTAAATGCAATTCACACGATCAATATCAATAGTTCTTTGTCAAATCGTTTCTCTTCGTTCAATATCAATAGTCCTTTGTCTTTAGAATCTGTCAATAGTTCCTTGTTGACTCTTAGCTTATAAATTTTCAATGAATTTTAACTACCTATTTTAAACAATTGATTTTAAATAATGGGTATGGGCTGCAATATTTTATCTTTCTATTTTGCTACTTGTCTAAATTTTATTTTACTTACTTTATCTTGTTTATATTCTGTGCTTTATTTCTACACTGTGATTTTAGCTTTAGCTTTCCATTTATTGATTTCAGTGACTAACTTTACTTTAAAATACTTTTTATTTTATCTGATAGTACTGTATATCATCTTTGTTATTTCAACTTTTGCCCTCTATAAAACGATAAAGTGTTGGAGTAATTATAGTGTATTTTAAGCTATGTTATAAAACACTATGTGTTGAACCATTAACGAGGCTACCCACTATAAAATACTCCAAAGAGTGGGGCTAATCTCATTGAAAAATAAATATAATATATTTTTCTGATTAAAATTTTTACTATTAACTGATGTTCTGCTTTCTTTGAACTCAATTCAACTTAATACGTATAAACCGTTTTGTTTATATATTTTGTAATACAAGTGGAGGTAGAATATTGTTGCCATCCCAGGTGTAAGTTTTTGTTACCTTTTAAATCAATGTCACGAGTGGTATCCCGGCTGAGTCATTTGGCCGGGGTGTTGAAACTGGCGCCTCCTAGCGGAGACAATTGTCGTATACCTTCTAAACTTATCGTATACCTTCTGTGGGGGGGATCCATCAATGACTTATATATTATTTCTACTAACAAAAAGTACTGGTTTCTTTACATGGTGACATTAATTATTGCTATTTACTTTTTCTGATTGTTTCAAATATTGATAAAAAAATTAATTTATGGGAGCCATATTTATATTTTTTTCCCTTTAAATTTAGTTTTTTAGTAGCAATAATCAACAGAAATTCAAAGCTTATGGAATGTATATATCTACATATACAGGGTTATTCATAATTCCCTCTGTTTACCACAACTGGCTTCAGGGGTACATGTTACTACCATCTACCGGCAACTGCTTAAATTAAAACTTGAATACTTTCGGAATAATTTCATATTATTCTTTTTTTCCATATTTGTCTTCGTTTTTTAACTATAACGCATCGAAACTATGAATAACCCTGTATATATATATATATAGANATATATAATTTTAATAATCAATTTTTTGGGGTTTCGCTTGATTGAGTTTTCTAGAGCAGTAGTTCCCAATCCTTTCAGCTATGGAACTTTAAATTAACGAGAGCTATACTCCAAGTTTACAAATAAAATTTATTAACAGCTATGAATATACTAACCAACGAAAGACTACTGTTTGTTTTCATAATATCTAAGGCGAAGAATAAAAAATTTTTAACCGTAGTCTTATGGTTAATAGTCTTGAAACTTTAGGTTTTATGTCAAACAGTTGAATTCACAGGTATAGAGTAGCACCGTGACGAGTTCTGAATTTGTTTTTAGTGTATGCATAGTCTGAAAACCAACAAAGTATGCTGAATTATAGTTTTTGACGAAAAATGTTATAAATATTGAAAATCATTATCAGAGAAAGATAATTTTTTATTCCAGAATATGTTCGTTTTATTTTTGAAATGGAAAGTTAAAGGAAAAATACTGATACAATTTATTGTAAATGCATATCTTTTTGGTAATTAATTCAACATGATAGAAAAATATTTGTTTTTTAAAAATTTCTTCATAATTTCAAAAAATCATAATTCTATGATATTACCTTATACGCTACTTTTTAAGAGAAACTGATTTGAGCAGGTGTTCAAAACATTTTATAGTTATTATTTTTTCGTGTAAATTATATAGATATGATTTTATAAACTGCAGTTAAAGAGATTCATTAAATGATTTAAAACTTAACGATCAGCTTAATGCACATTGCGGCGCAAGCACAAATTTTGTTTAATATACCAGTTTGCTTGGTAAGCGAAAATAACAACTTCCTGTTGTGAGCTCCCCAAATTTGTAATGACAAATCTTTAATTTTAAATGCTGTATTAAAAAAATATTATTATAAACAAAATTGTTTACGTTCACTTATAGATCTTAATAAAATCATAGATTTATGCGAGATCTTTCATTCTATTTACCAAACACAATTTACTCAAACGAAACATTTATTTTGAAGAAATGAATGTTGGTCGTTGAAAGTAAAGGTACAAGCATAAATAAACAGAATTTTTTATAGTACATTATAAAAAATTCCACATCAAATTACGGTATAATGTACCAGCATTTAGGGTGCATCGTCCATAAAGTCCATTTCACTGTAACACTTATATCGTTTTTTTTTCAATAAAAATGAATGAGAAGTGATTCAGTATTTTTTCAGTAATGATTACTACCGATATATTAGATTTTTTGTCCCATATCATGCTCCGGTAAAAATGGATTTTACGGAAAAAAATTTGATCCGGGATTTTTCGCAGTGCACACTTATCTTAAGACAGACTTTCAACTTTAGTAGAAAAAACTTTTATGCTGAGAAACAATAATTACTGCAAAGAAAGCCTGAAAATTGGTAAGCTGTATCAAGCAGGGATTTGCCCTTAAGTATCCCAAATAAAAAAAATTTAATCCAGATAAAAGCTGAGGAAAGAATATAAATAAAAGTTCGAGCTTATTTCCATAACACAATGACGCAAACTCAACAAAGATCGTAAGTTGTCAGTTCAATTAGAGAAAAATATTCAGAAAGTCTTGTATCAAGTCAGTGTTTTCTGCATATAGCAATCTTCATAGTATCAATACCAGCTTTAAATGGTTCCAGGTGATTTTTCTAAAAACTGGCATGTATGATACGATCTGACATTAAATTTGTATGACGCATCTGTTATCGAGTCACAATGTTTGTCAATAAGTGACATCAAGACATTAGAGAAAAATATTGAGAAAGCATTGTATCAAGACTGTGCTGTTTTTTTTAAACGTTATAGCAATTTTCATAGAACTAATGCCAGCTTTAAATAGTTGCAGATGATTTTTATAAAAACAGGCATGTATGATGCTATCTATCATTAAAATTGTATGCCGCATCTGTTTCCGAATCACAGCGTTTGGCAATAAGAGATAACAGCAGAATAGAGTCTTCTTTTAACGATTTCTTGTAGTCCAGTAATTTATAGGAAAAAAAGGAAAGCATAATTCGCGATCGCAACGCTTGAGTACTCCCTCTAGCAGAGCCTGAAAATGTCTGGCATTAATTAAATAAGTTTTCATTTAGTTCTATCATACTCATTTGCAGAGTCGGACGCCATTTTCTTAGTAGCAAATAAGAAGCAAAATTTCTGTAAGGAAAAGGCTGAAGAACTTAAAAGAAACTAAGCAGGACACTTGCAAATCTTTCAGAAACAGAACACGCCAAACAGTTGAAGAAAAAGCTGTCAATAATTTTTAACTTCTATTATCAACAAACTTGCAACTGATAACTTCCGATTTCGGGATCGCATACTGTTACAAATGTGTGTATTATGGCAAAATAAAAAAAAAATTGTCTTTAATTCATTACAAATTGAAGTGAAGTCAACATTGCTTATTTCTTATTCTACATAATTCGGAAAACAACAATAAGGAATCATCCAAATTACTTGAAATAATCTCATTTGCGTTGATTATTAATAAATTTTTATCGTTTTCTTGGTAAGTATTGCAGTGATCTGGGGGGCGTAGCCCCCTATTGATATATATTACTAAATACACTCTTTCTGTTATAACAAAATAAAAATAAAGCAATCACATTTTACATAGATTTATTACTTGAATAATTTTCTTTTATTTTCTAGCTTATAACTTTGTTCCCTCTCTAATTAAAAAAAAACACTTTTTAAGGATTTTCGCCAATAACTTTGTATATCCATTCGTACTTGTCAGCAAGTTTTGCAAAAATCATTTTACTTTCTTTCGGTTTGCAAAGTTTTTCCATCTTGTACTTGAAGTCAACTGCATTAAAGCTTGCTGATCCCAATACATACCAACGATTTTGAAGAAAGCAAACCAAAGGGCTTCCACTATCACCCTGAAAATTAAAAAAAATTAGAATATTCTAGAGCCAAGTTTTCAACCAAGTATCCAAAAAAAATGACTAACGATTTGAAGAAAAAAATAAAGAAATACATAAAATTCAAAATAAAAAAAATAATATTTTTAAAATCCACGTTTTTGTAGAGAAGAATCTATCTATATTATATAAAACGCTAATACGTACGTATGTATGTATGCATGTATCAATAAAACCGATGATATTTCTTTTCTCGCGCTGGCAACAGTTTTCATTTTTAATTGATTGGATTCGGCGCGCAAGAGCACGTAGTGAGCAACCAGATAACAATAACCAGAGTGAGCATTATCAGGTTGTTCAATTCAGATTCATGCACTAAAAACATGACAATATTTAATTTAAACTCAATTAGGAATTAATTAATTAATTGAAGTGAGAATGCTTTAAAAGGCCGCTGTTGAATTGATATTTTTCTACTGGGAGCTACCTAAACGTCTAAAAAACGTTTAAGTGTTTGTATTGAATGCATTGAATTTTTTTATATTTCGCGTTTATTTATGCATTGAATTTTCACGCTTTAAAATGCAGAATATTAGTGAAGCAATATTTGATAATTTATTTTGCTAATATGTTTCTTATTTAGCTAATGTTTTGATTTTTTCACCATGTACAATCTAAATAGCTAATATACTTTTTTAAAAGCCAATAAGAACATTGGTAGAATTCTTCTACATAAGTACAATACTATGTCTTTGATGATAAAATACTATGTCTTTGATGATAATATATTATGTCTTTGTGCTAGAACATTGTGTTCATTGGCGAGCGAGCGCAGCGAGCCATGGTTCACGGCGTGAACCACATAGGATTGCGTAGCAATTCTCGGGGGTTGGCGAGCGTTAGCGAGCAGGGGGCGGAGCCTCCTAGTATTATATAAAACGCTAATACGTACGTATGTATGTATGTATCAATAAAACCGATGATATTTCTTTTCTCGCGCTGGCAACAGTTTTCATTTTTAATTGATTGGATTCGGCGCGCAAGAGCACGTAGTGAGCAACCAGATAACAATAACCAGAGTGAGCATTATCAGGTTGTTCAATTCAGATTCATGCACTAAAAACATGACAATATTTAATTTAAACTCAATTAGGAATTAATTAATTAATTGAAGTGAGAATGCTTTAAAAGGCCGCTGTTGAATTGATATTTTTCTACTGGGAGCTACCTAAACGTCTAAAAAACGTTTAAGTGTTTGTATTGAATGCATTGAATTTTTTTATATTTCGCGTTTATTTATGCATTGAATTTTCACGCTTTAAAATGCAGAATATTAGTGAAGCAATATTTGATAATTAATGGTACTAATATGTTTCTTATTTAGCTAATGTTTTGATTTTTTCACCATGTACAATCTAAATAGCTAATATACTTTTTTATAAGCCGATAAGAACATTGGTAGAATTCTTCTACATAAGTACAATACTATGTCTTTGATGATAAAATACTATGTCTTTGATGATAAAATACTATGTCTTTGATGATAATATATTATGTCTTTGTGCTAGAACATTGTGTTCATTGGCGAACGAGCGCAGCAAGCCATGGTTCACAGCGTGAACCACATAGGATTGCGTAGCAATTCTCGGGGATTGGCGAGCGTTAGCGAGCAGGGGGCGGAGCCTCCTAGTAATAATTCAAAAAAATTGAAAAATGAAAAACGTGGGGCGTATGAAATACATAACAGTAATGTTGTATTAGTGTGTGTATGTGTGCTCTTAAGAATATGTGTATGTATATCTGTAATCAGTGGCGTACGCAGAATTTTTTCAAGGGGGGTGTTCATAATTTTCTGAAACTACTAAAAGAAATTCGAATCTGTTATAAAGCACTATTATTTCCCTAATTTAGACAGCTAGACAATTTTGACTTCTTATTTAAACATCATAGTTTAGTTAAATTTTGATTTTATTTTTTAAGTTTAAGAACATAATGTAATATTTTCTGAAAAAAGTTTAATGTCATATGGGTGGAAAGTAACACTTTGACAGCCACTTTCACATTCATCAGATTTTGTTATGCTAGAAACGTTTTCTTAAACGGAAGTATCACATTTCTGTACAACAGAAAAACTTACATTGGTACTAGATGCTGCACCTCACTAATTTCAAATCATGATTTTTTCTCAAATTAATAAAAATTGCTAAATTCTTGCGTTAAAAATTGTTAAATCCTAAAGATCCAGGAACAGCAAATATATGTATATATTGGCACAGAAATATCCGCTATTTTATGATCTCCAAGTTTCGAGCTGGAATGAATAGCTTTAACGAGCACAGTATCTATGGTATTGTTACTGATTTCTTCACTAGTCGAAATACTGGCGACGACGGGTTCGGCGATTGAATGAATTTTTTGTTAAGACAAAACCAAACAGATTTAGCGACAAGCTCCGAAAGACAAGCGGCAGAGATAACTCTTAGTCTGACTAACTAACTCCACTATACTCCGTTCCCTCTTTTATATAATTTTTCACGTCCCGCAGAGGACTGATCGTTAAGACACGGTTCCCAGCAGATCACCGAAGTCAAGCATCACTGGCTGTGGTCAAAGCATCACTGGCTGTGGTCAGTGTGCGGATGGGCGACCACTTGGATCAGTCTGCGTAGGGACCGAGGGTGTGCGGTATTAGTCCTTGTTAAACTGTGCTACCGTAAAGTGCTCGACTTCGAGGCACAGGTCGTCGGGCTACCGAAGCGGGGGTGCCATCCCCTCCGCAGAGGATCAAAATTGTGATGGCATGTCTTCGGATTATCCTCCGGGATGTTTCCCAGACCGACGCCAATAGCCCATTGTGCAGCTCCAGTGCGACGTAAATTAACAATAACATAACAATAACAATATAATTTTTCACCGCGTCTCCAAAATTCTCTATTTGTCTCAAAGACGACAGAGCATCTAGGATTCCAGAATCATCGCGTAAAGACCTCGCGAATGGCAGGCAGTCTCGAAAACTATACTGGCAGGACAGATAGGAACTCCATAACAGTATCACGTGAATTTGGTTTCAAAAGTACAACCCTATTATAGTAAATGTTTTTTCAGTATTCGGAGAAATACCGTGAGAAAAAAAAAGTAGGCATAAGGTTAATAAAAATATATAGTCTTAAAAAATAATAGCTCGCATAATTTCTAAAATTTTTATTTTTGCTATTTTGTCTAAGCTCAAGGGGGGTGTTTAAACCCCTAAACCCCTCCCTTGCGTACGCCACTGTCTGTAATTGTAATTGCATCTGAATGTGGATGTGGAATATGTTTGTGTATATGAGTACGTATGTGGATGTATATGTGGCTGTGCATGTGTATGAGTAAGAAAATTTGTATATGTATGCGTATATGTACTGTTATGTATTTCCTTCGCCCCACGTTTTTCGTTTTTCAATTTTTTTTTAATTATTATTCTCCATTACAAAAACGTAGTTTTGAAAAATATTATTTTTTATTTTGAATTTTTTTATTTTAAATTATAATTTTTTTAATTTTTAATTTTTATTTTAAATTTTTTTAAAATTATTACTTTTTAATTATTATTCTTCACTACAAAGAACACGATTTCTAAAAAATATATATTTTTATTTAGATTATTTTTCTTAGTCAAGAGTAGTCAAGACTACTACAAGACCACTACTAAAATAACAGAACTTTCATTTTAAATTAGGGATACAAAAATCTTTATAGAAAAACAATACCTTTAGGAATTTGATTAGTTTTATGCTGATGACAAGATCTGGAAATGAATGAGGAAAAACTGGATCCTACCACGCGATTTTTCAGCCAATAAAAATACTCCGACAATAAAAATCTTTTCACCTGATATGTAATAATAATTTGAAATAATGGAATCGACAACAAAAGACAATCTCGAAAATTATTTTTTTTTAAATATTAATTTTATTTTACTTTGTATGTCTTTTTTCTCTTCATTTTCATGCATTGTCTTCCAATCCTGAACTATGTGCCAAATTTGAAGCTTGTAGCTAGTCGGGAAGTTAGTTTAAAATCGATTACAAAATTCCACCCGGACAGACATACACGAAGGCAAGTTTATATAAACGTGGTAAAAAATAAATAAATAAATGACTTTTTTTCTGCATTTTACTTAGAAATCCAATATTCTTTAACCTCACCGAATTTTCAAAGTTGCAGTAAACTTTGTTAAAAGGGGACAATTACCACCTTATAACAACTATTAAACAATATTCCCTGCCTCATTTCGATAAGTTCAAGCTTAAGTATTTTTAACCACGTTTGCTAGTTTTGCCTTTAGGATGCAAAGCATTGTTGCAGCATTGGACGGTTCAAATGAAAACAGCACCTTAGGGACCGAGGGTGTACGGTATTGGTCCTCGTTAAACTGGGCTTCCGTAAAGTGCTTGACTTCGCGCGCAGGTCGTCGGGCTACCGAAGCGGGGGTGCCATCCCCTCCGCAGAGGATCAAAATTGTGATGGCATGTCTTCGGATCATCCTCCAGGATGTTTCCCAGACCGTCGCCAATAGCCCATTGTGCAGCTCTAGTGCGACGTAAATTAACAACAACAACAACAAAACAGCACTTTATATTTTTTCCCAATTATCAGTGCCATCTCCAGATGAAATTTGTGACAAATTTTGTAATTTAGCAAATCCTGGTTACTTAAATAGTACGTTGTAAAACATTACATTTATATCTCCTTGCTTTTTCAAAAAAATTGATCTAAACATTTCAGACTTTTTCTTAATAAATAGTGTTTATATACCTCTCAGCACAATTTTATAGTGGCAAAACAACAATCAGACTGCCACTCCATCCACAGTAAAATATTTATAAATATAAAAAACTTAACACTGAACACATTTCAGCGTGTTCAAAAATATTGTTAATAGATAAGAGATTAGCAAGTAAATTTTTACATTGAAAAATAAAGAGAGAAAAGTTGTTCAAAAATACTTTTTGAATGTTAAGAAGGTTTCTGCCAGGAACAGTTATTGATGTTTTATCATAAATGAAACATTTTAATTTCGGATGTTATTTGTTATTGTGTTATTTTTGTTTTATGATGTTATTTGCTATAGTGTTAGAGTCATGGAAATAACTGATTTCAAACAAACATGAATTGTTACGAAAAAATTTAAAAATAAAGTTGTTGTTAAATCTGTGTTGTAATGTCGATATTTTCTTCAGCCATTTACGAACAATTTCTTCCAAATTTTTTCATTGGTTATTTATGGGTATTATTTAAATGAGTGAAAATTGAAATGTTAAACATACCAAACACGGATCTTTAGGAGGTTTTTCCACACAAATCTGTGTATTTGTCTCATGCGGGCACTTTTCTCGGTGTATGATGTATTGTATTGATTGCTTCAGCTCATACTGATATCCAGTGGCTATAAAATATATATGAAATTACATATTATATTGTATCAAATTTCAAAACCTATCAGGTAAATGGCACAAGCTTTAACAACATAACGAACAATCATTTTAACAAATATTTTGCTAAATATTTTGAGATACTAAATTCAACTAAAATGCTTTATATTTCAGGGCTACTTCAATTGTGGGATAATTTATTCCTACTGAGACGTAAATAATAGCAAAACATAGTTAAGAATTGTTACTAGTGCAGGTTACAAGCAGTAATTTATAACTGAAATCTAATTTATGATATGAGCTTCTTTTTTACATGTCTGTTTAATTTTCACAACGTGGTAAAAAAAAACGTGCTCTCTAAGCATTGTTTCAAGGATATGACTTTAATTTTCATAGGTATTTAAAAGAATTAAGAAAGCAAACTCTTGCAATCAAACTACAAGAATGATATCTCAGCTTAAACAATTATATCTTAAAATGTGCTCACTTGGGATTCAATTAAATAGATACTATATTGTTAAAGTGATATTGTTGTTATCGGTGTGAGTGATGCAAGTCCTTTTTCCAGTGACCATCCATATATTGACATTCGTCAATCGGATATCAAAAGGTCAGATTGGTTGACCACTCTTTCAGGGGGCACCACATATTAAGTGGGACAACGTTATCCCCACAGTAAGAAGGACAGATTGAAATGAGGGGAAGGAAAGGACATCCATGCCCTTGACCGGGATTGAAATCTAATCCCTTAGATTTTTGATACCGTTTAGATCAAATAAAATATAAGTTGTTTAATTATCTCAGAAGCAGAGAATAAAATTCTGAAAAAAATTGTTTGAAGAGGATTCAACAAATTCAAAAATGCCTGCACAGAAATAAAATAATCGAGACATTAATTCTTTTTTTCATTAAATTTTATAGCAGACAATATCCCATTTTGCTGAGAAATATCAAATGAAAATAATTTTTTTATTTAATTTAACAATAAAATGCCTATTTCATTTAACGCTCATCAAAGTTAATATATCATCTCCGTGTTATATTATTTTAATAATAATAAATTAATACAGTATTTCTTCTACTACTTACATGTGGATTCTCCCCATCCTGTTGAAAAGCACTTCCAACCAGGATTTGCTCCTAAATACTTTCCAGGCAAACAAGCAGGCTGCACTCCATTGGTGTAAGAAACTGGAGCATTCAGTTTAATCAGGGAAATGTCGTGCTTCTTGTCCGCATTCTTTAACTACGAGGCACACATAAATGAATTTAGTTTACAGAACAAATTCTTTACATTTGACTTACTCCGTTATTAATAAGTATAAAAATATAGTTGAAAATATAGAGAAATTATTATATATTAATTAATGATTAATTAGTTAATGATTAATATATTAATTATTTAATTAAATATATACATTTTATTAATTCTCTTTTTTCTTCGTTTTGCTCTCTTTTCTTTTTATCCTTTTTGTCTTTATTGCGCTATGTTTTAGTGATCATATTCAATGCAGCTTTAGCACTAAGTATTATTTTTTATTAATTTTGTTTCCGTTTTTAATTCGTTTTTCTAATTTCGTGCGTTTTAGGCGTTGCTCTTTTAAGTCTTATCTTTATGGATTTGAACAATAATAATAATTTGCGATTGATGAAAAATCTGTGCAAAGCGAGCAAATCATGTTTCGTTTTTTAAAATAATTGCTAATTTTCTAAAATCATTAAAATTGCATATTAAATATCAACCTTATTAATTATAAACTTTAAATTATCCAATATAATATTATTACCTTGCGCATATCAGTTTTCGGCCAATCCGAGGTAACTAACATATCAAACACCACTCAGTAACAGTACAGCAGCAAGAATGCGCTATATAAGATCCCTCTATTTATGCTTCAGTTTTCATATTTTGTAATCTGGCAATCTTATTACGAAAATATTTTAAACCATTCTTGAAAGATTCCGGTACGTGCAAGCATATTTGAACTGACTACTCGCTTGAAAGATTTCATTTTGTGCTTGGTTCTGTATTTTCTATACATTTTATTTTCTGTTTTTTGTTTGATATGTTTTATTTCGTATATATTTTTTCACTTAATGCATTCTATTTTCGCTTAAGTTTTTTGAGTGCTCCTAGCACTATTGTATTTATGTATTTTACTTTGGCTACAATGATACAATATTAGAAAGCTCTCCTTTTATCGGATGTAATCATGCAAGCTAATTAAAAGTTATATTTTTTTCAATATTTTGTTTTCCCGCTTCTTAATAATATTTTTTAAATAAATAAAAAAAAAATTAATCTTTTATTGAAGTTATTCGCGATTGCAACGCTCGAGTACGCCGTCTAGCGGGAGCCTGTAAATATCAGACATTAATTTATCACGTTTTCATTTAGTTCCATCGAAATCATTGACAGAATCTGACGCCATTTCTAGCAGCAAATAAGAAACAAAATTTCCCTAAGGAAAAGGCCGAAGAACTTGAAAAAAATCTCCAGAATATTAGTAAATCTTTCAGGAACAGAACACGCCAAACATTTGAAGAAAAATTCCTCAATAATTTTTAATTTCTATTATCAACAAACTTGCAACTGATGACTTCCGATTTCGGATACTGTTACAGATGTGTGTATTAAGGTAAAATGCATTTCTTCNATATCGATACATTTTGCTCAAGTTTGAATTAACATAGTTTTTTTACATGTCAAAGTTCAAAAACTGGGCAATACTGCACAAAGTAGCCCCACATGACGGTACGTCTAATAATTTGGCCAATGAGTGTAGGCTATTTGACTCTAATTATGAATGTTATTTAAATTTATTATTTTATGAAATTCGTGAAAATGCTGTAAAAACTCGATTCTTGGAAAATTTCGGATGGTTATGTGGCCTTTTTAATCCCTTTTTCAAAGGTTTCAGGTCATTAGCAGATTTTGTCCGTGTCACCGTGAAAACAGACCAAAGTAATAATTCCTTAGAATGTCCAGCGAGTGTGGGTGGAATGTCGGAAAACATTACCAGATATTACTTGTCGTAACCGGTTTCGGTTCCTTTATCGGTTAAATAAATTTCATTTGTGACTTATGCCGTCCCTCTAATCGCAGCTTTCGAATAAAATAAAATAAAAAGTTCCAGGAAATTACTTCTTCAGCGAATCTGTGTTTGGTATTGCCAGGAGGGCCATTAAGTTACTTGTAATTCATAAAAAGACATCCCCCGCTGATTTAACTATCGTTTTGGATGTTCTTTTTCCATTGTTGCCATTCTCATAACCTTTATTTTAGCCTGTTAGAAACACCTGCTTTTTAAGCGGTAAAACACCGTGTTTCAGCGCGCCACACGACGACCGGAAGTGTAACTAATTCTCTGATCGAGCTATAGGCACGAATTTTCGTGCGGTCGGGAAAGAAAAGGTAAACATAGGCCCCTTTTTGTTCACCCAGAAGAGGTCTCTGGGACCCGGGGCCCCTTTTCTGCAAGGGAAAATAAACATTTTTACTTTTTGATACTTCACAAAGCTCTTTTCTTTGATTCGCAAACATATTATTTTTTTCTTTCTTTTCTAAATAAAGGCACGTGCTTAAGAGCCAAGACGTTACATTTTACGAGTTAAATTTTTTCAACGTTTTTCTTTTTTTTTCTTTACCTCCTTAAAGAATAAGCAAGTAATATAATAAAAAAAAAGATCTAAAATCAATTCCTACTTAGATCAACAAAGAAAAATCTTATTTTAGTTACATTTTATTAAATAATTGCAAATTTTTTTTCTGCCATATAAAACCGAAATTAATTTATTAAATAGAAATAATGAATTAATATTTTTAAAAAAAACTGTATTAACATCAAGTGTCCTCCACTATTAGTTTAAAAAAATGCATATGAACTTGAGTGGTCGAATAAAAGTATTTTATTAGAGATTGAAAATTTGAACAAGATGTAGTAATTGAATAAGTTTTTGGCATTAAGAATCTTCTATCCGAACCATTTAGATTAAAGTTTTGATTTTCCTTTTTTACGATAAACAAAACTTTTGATGATTGAGTACTGTTTGACAGCACTACCGAAAATAAAAACGTCACTTTAATAGATAAGGAAATAAAACACTTTTTTGATAATTTCTAGAAATTTTATGAAATTACACTAAAATAGAACTTGATGCGTGATTCTTGTTTGCTAAATCCAGGGTTCTTTGCCGATTTGGACAAAAATTTTCGCTAAGAATCTCTTTTGAAATTACATTATGACGCATTCACATACATTATTAATGCAAATACATTTTCCCTGCGAGACGATGAGGCAACCACAAGCACTTCCACTCGTTCAAGAGGGAAAAATGCACAATATTACCGTGATTACAGAGCACGGAAGTGAGCGAAGCAATAAAAAGGGTCGTTGATTAGAACTAGTGATCCATCAACGACTGCTGATTCTTCAACAATTAACGTCGCAGGTTGCGAAGTTTAACTTCTTCCGCGCGGAGGAACTCCACGCACTATTTTTTTTAAATAATTTTTCTTATTCTCTTTTCTTTATTATTCGACATGTCTTCTGAATGAACAAATGAACCAGTGCCGGAAAGTTTGGCACTCACATCCTCGAAAATTCACCCCATTAGAAAGAAAGGTGTCCAGCTAGTCTGGAATACGCCCCCAGTACATATCTGGTACTCTGGGGATAAGCCAGGTCGTGCTTTGTCCTTCAGAGGTAATAGAGGAGATCAGACCGCGTTCACTAGATTCATCAGTGGTCACATAAAGTGCATGAGGTATGAACAGCAGCGAAAGGTCTATCCCACCAGCAACAAATGTTTCTCTAGTGATGCCAGCTCGGCCCACCTCCTTAGCTGTGTGGATTTTGAAAAGGAGGATTTTCTGCACGACCCGGTCCAGTTTTTTGATTTTCAGAGGGTAATGGACCTGGTCCACTCCGCTAGACCAGTGGGGATGAGAAACAACAACAGCGCATATTGTCTCTCTGTTTTTAACTTATTTTATGAGTTCTACACACTCGCAGCTTATGCGCAATAAATAAAACTTATTAATTTTCTTCGTTTTTCTCTCTTTCTTGTCTTTATTGTGATTACTACGTTCAAGTACTCACCTGACGTTTCTACTACATATACTTTACCGTCCGTTTGGTCAGAATAAGTTAACTGTAATCTAACAAAGAAAAAAAATTTTTTAAACAAAGTCATATTAATTTAATGGTTTTTTGGTTTTCTTTTTTATGTTTTGAGCATTTTTGTACTCCGCATGAATAGTGCGAAGTATTTCTTACATATTAGTATTTCTTACATACATTTCTTACATAGTTATTTTTATAATTTATTCGCTTAAGCGTTTAAGTGTTTAACATTCGCCCTAGAGAGAGAAAGAGTTTAACCTACATAAATTATTAGCAATTTTTACTCGAATATCCAAACTTACACTATCTTCTTCCAAATCAGGATAGGATATAATTCTTTCAGCAACTCGAGTGACTTCGTACTTCGTTTTTTTGAATTTCAAATGACTTCCTAGGACAACTCTGACCTCTGAAGGATGTTTGATGCTGAAAAACATAAACACAGATATTCACAATAAAAGAATACGTTTAGGAAAAAAATTATTTATTGCGTGAGTAAAAAGTCTTCTTTGTATTACTCCATCAACTACTATATACAGTGCTGCTTTGAGGAGAACTCCTCCAGGCTGAAAGTCTGGGGCTGTCTACTGCTATGGTAACAAGCGAGAGTACATTTCTAATGGGGGTGAAATGGAGGAAGGAAGGTGTCGATTGCTTTACCTACGATAACCTACGCTAAGATTAAAACAAAACTATTCACCCGACACCCCTATTCGAAATGACCTTTCCTCGTAACCATAGTACCCGCCACGGCGCGAGACAGGTGTCTAGAGGAGTTCTCCTGAAAGCCGTACTATAAGGGTACTTACTCCACGTACACAAGCTGCTCATGTGCACGTAAAGGCTTGCCTAGAATTTTATTTTCCGCTCCAAACAATTATTGAAAATCTGTCGAGAAATTAATGCGGACGAAAGCATTGATATTTGTGTTATAGTGTATTAATACATCATGTTTTTAATTATGAATGTAAACATAAAAGTTACTGAGGGAGCTATGTACTTCTGTACTCTTCATTTACGTGCCGGTAATCAACATTGTTATCCAATATAGTAAGTATGTACAATGCTACAAATAATTTTTTTTTAGAATTTGACGTTATAGAGTTGTGTTTCTTATCGCTTTGCACAATTTCATGCCCGTTAGCTATTTTCAGAATAATTATAAAATTCCACGTGTTTCCATGATTGATTAGGCTTAGCAAGATACACTGTGCAAGTGTTTATTATTTTTTCAAAATATTCTTAAGGGTTAAAATGTCAACCAACAAATGGATGAGTTCGAAGAAATAAAATGTAATGAATGTAATTGAACATTTACCACAAGGTAGAATTTATACCATGACTAATCCTTTCATATGTCAAGCTCTCTACCGTGCTGTTTGTGGGATGAAAAGTTTCCTTAATGCAGTCATTTGCAAAATTATTATCAGAGTGAACATTTGAAAATTAAATTCGAGTTTCAAAGTAGGGTTTTTGAAAATCAAAATCTTTTTTAAATGAGGAAGAAAAGTTCATAATGAGACCACGTCTTACTCTTTTCAGAGAAACGTTAACAGAATGTCAGATATACATATTTCTTATTTGTATTTCATCTGCACATAGTATCTTATTGCCTTATGCAAACCCATATTGCTTGAATATATTTCTATCTTGCATCAGATTATTTCAATCAGTTATAATATTTAATGTAAATAATTTAACATTTTATTACTCATTGAAAGTAAATTTTATTAATGCATTTAATTCAAGCGGAAGAGGTTGAGTTACACAAATATATTAAGTTAATATTGCATGATAGAAATATTTGGGATAACTGAGAGCGACGAAGAGCATGAGAAAAATAACAATAATATAATCAACTATATGTTGCCATATCTATGAATTAGAATTTATTTTTGTTGTTGTTAACAAGCATAAAGAGGAATTTATGATCGAGCAAAGCGCCATCTAAGAATTAATGCACTTACACCTGGCTGCGGTGTCAAAATTTTTATCTGAGTGCATTTCCTGAAATTGGTTGTACGGGGAGACACTAGTTCGCTTTACTCAATTCGAGTTGCACTCATGCTGCATCTTTCTGAATAAACGCGTTTCTAAGTAAGCTGAAGTCTATCGTGACCTTTACTTAGGCACAATGATATAACAAATATCGGATGTCCCGGATATGTTTAACGGTTTGAAAAGAGAACGGAAATGGAAATGAATGAGTTTGATGTCTTTTGCGTTAAAGACTAGGTTTTTTAACCATACCAAATTTCAAAATTAGTTGCAAAGTTCATTTACAGAGGGCGTTTATAGCACGAAACATCTGGTTTCTTAAGTAAAACACAGCCAATCGTACATTTCTATATTTATGCATTTTTTCATTGATTTTCAAATTCATCTCTTTGACACTTGGTATAAAGAAAAAACTATAAGATGCCTAAAGTAAAGTTAAATCCAGTAACACGTTATAAGTTATATCTAATCTATAGATTTCCCACCCTTAGCCTGAAAATGCAATATAAGAGAGTGGGGATGCAAATACAAAGTGGAATTTGATGTCTATAGTTTAGCCTGAAATAAACATTTTTAATTTCCGACTCTTTCGCTTTATTGGTAATCATTTATCATTAATTTAACAATACTATGGTCAACCCATCGTTATTAATATTTTTTATTGGATAGATTTAGCATGCTGATTTTTATATGACAGAAAAGTTATTTTACGAACACTAAAAATAAATGCTTGCATGTACACTGAAATACAATTTGGATTTGACAATGTTATGAAAATTGTGTAACGTATGCTCCTCATATATGCACACAGCCGTAATAACTACGTGTATAGCCAGTTCTGTGGTTATTAATCAGTCGTTTCAACTGCAAGAATGGGTTTTGATTTAGAAGCATTCGATTGCGAACAACTAAAAAGCTATTCGATTTCAGAAAATATCAGTGACTATCAAAGTTGATAGTTTGAAGAGTATTTTAGAATTCACAGATAGTCGAAAAATACGAGGCACTGGAAAAACTGCAAAGGATAATTAGCCTGGTGCTCTATCTATGCTGCTCAGACGTATTGTTAAATGTAGCTATCGAAATCAATAGTTCAAATTACCCCTGATTGACAACTTTAGGATTAGGTGTAAATGCGGTTAACTCAGCACAATCACGAGAGCATAAATGAGGCTCAACCCTGAGCTACAAGTCGCTTAGCATTAACTATTCCTTATTTTATGGCACTTAAATGTATTTTCTTTGCAATTTTTCGATGCTATTCAATATTTCCTAAATAAATATTTTTTGGTTTTAAGTTATCATTATTCTGAATCAGCAGTCACTATGAATCAGCAGTTACTATAAAGCTTTTAATGATGCATCTAAGGACAATCCAATAAAAAGGTAAATAGGGTTTGCTTTGTAATCACCGCGTCAAAACTGAAACAGTATAATATAAGTCATAAAGTATTGCAAATTAATATTTCCAGATAGGAGGAAAGGAAAACTCTATCGAAACGCGTCTTACGTGTAGCAGGTGGGATGACAAATATCAAAACAAATTTGGTTCCCTGATGAAGATTGGAGGAGTTTCCGTTTCTTCTAGCAATCAAACAGGTTTTCACATTTTCATCATTATTTCAGTAGTGATTCGTTGGATGTCGATAGTGTTTTTGTTATACCTTGTTTATACATTTACTTTGGATGCCAATTGCGTATACTGATCTCCTTTTCGATAAGAATTCCAAAAAATCCATATTAAGAGCTGTCATTACTACTCACCCTGCCTATGTCATACAGTAGAAAAATATCTTGAGAGAAAAAACAACTTTTCGCTTTGGACCATACCGCGTTCAACTAAAAAAAATTTCCTGTCTTCTGTTTCATGATGTCATTATGCACTATAAGCATATAAGTAAAATAATGTGGGTGTTTTTTTTCAGAATATTTTGTTTTAAATTACGTTTGAATTTCATTTTCTAAAACTTGTCCCATTCTTCCCCCGGAAAGATATGATACATTTTGGTTTGATACATATGACACATTTTGGAAAGATATGATACATACGATTCATGTGATACATTTTTCTTTGAAAAATTCATGTTTCAATATTTATTATGAAATTTATATTTCTTAGTATGAAAATCGTTTTAAAACTTTATTCAGAACTTTACGAAATGCTACCATTTCTGTAATTAAATAGTAAGGGATATAATAGTGTCCCATCTGTCCCTTCTCTATTAGATGTGACAAAATTGAATTATTTTATCCGCCTTAGATCCTTTAAACAGCGCTATTATCTTTTAATATTTTCTTCGCTTTTGTTTCGTCTCTGGTTGCTTGTTTACTTGAGGAAGTCGTTGAAATTGTGTGCAAATGTTGATAAATTTGCTTACAAGGAAACGAATGAAATTTGCATTGACATCACACTCAGAGCTCCAATTTAATTTGGGTGAACTATTTTGTCTGAAGATGATCGAAATTTCGATTGATGATCAATTCTAATCAGAGTCGATTGCTGTTTCCAAAGATTATGAATCGATGAAAAATTATATGTTTCTCCATCACAGAATTCTAGGTAAAATTGAGCACTCCAATTAATCGGAATATGGTCGAAATTTCTATTACCCAATAATTTATATTTCGTGATAAAATACCGATTAATTCAGCTTTCATTGGTCAGAAAACAATTATAACTTATATTATAACAAGGCACAAGTTTTTATTGAACCATGAGCATTCTATCTTATAGCTTTCGAATTCGACGCGCGGTAAATATGGTAGGTTGCATTGTTACCAAATAAAATGACGGAGAAACGGATGGAGAAACGGATATGTTTCTCCATCACAGAATTCAAGAAAAAAGTTGTGCACTCCAATTAATTGTAATGTGGTCGAAATTTCTATTACCCAATAATTTATATTTCGTGATAAAATGCTGATAAATTCAGCTTTCATTGGTCAGAAAACAATTATAACTTATATTATAACAAGGCACAAGTTTTTATTGAAGCATGAGCATTCTATCTTATAGCTTTCGAATTCGACGCGCGGTAAATATGATAGGTTGCATTGTTACCAAATAAAATAGCATATTTACCCTAGAAAACAATGAGCTGCACTAATCACCCATTGAGGACTAATTAGAGTACCACCACAAAAGTGACCATTTGGTTCAACTTCTATGTATTGCAACGAAACTTGCCAGGGCCAGCTATTAGGAATAGCCGCCACTAATTTGTTACTATTAACGTATAAATTGTTGGGTCTGATTGGAGTTCTTCCACAGTTCCAAGTTGACGGCTTATCAATTTCTTTACCTATTAAAATAGATCAATTATAAATACAATGCAATATTTTATATGAATGAAATAATCACGAAACATTATTTTAATTTAAAATAATCTTTAGACACATAAGAGTTGGCTGTTAATGTTTTTGACATACCAAAGGCCAATTGAAAATTTCATTTCAGTGTAAATGTCATCGGATATTTGTAATGCACCAGGCTAATTGAAAATATCTTCTGTATTTTCTGATCAACTTGGTATTTTAGGATTAGATCACTTATTTAGAAATTTGCGAGGAATTACTCTGACGGAAATTGCTTAGGCTTATCGCAATAAACTTTAATAAGGCTATTCACAATGCGTCTTCACTATTCAGGGCTTATTGCAAACTGTTTCAAATAAATCAAGTTAACTTTGCATCGACTTATGAACTTTCTAATCAGTCTAAAGATAAATGGGTGCACTCGAATAAGCCTAAAAACTGTTAGACTGATTAGAAAATAGTGAAGACTTTTCCAATTAGATTCGCACATTTAAAATAGCAGTAGCTGCATATTGTAGTTTGATTATTCCATTAACCTACCGCTTATGCATGGCTAGTTAAGAGAGATCTTTACATCTTTTCAAATGACCCATACAATTCCAAACAAGGTGAAAATTTTTGAACTCTCTTGAGCCTCCATACAGTATACAATTGAATGTTTGCTGTGTAGAAGTTTCCTTTCTTCCATCAGCAATATACAGTGAATTCAAGGTCAATCGAATTCGGTTACAGTTAGGCTTCGTTTTCAACTTTAAAATAACAATTTCCGGTAGTTCTTATTAGTAAATATTAATTACAGATCTTTTAACTTCTATAATATGAAGGAAAAATGATATAAACAATAAAAAGGAATAGCTCGCATACCTCCCTTTTTATTATATTTTGTTAGAAGGTTCACTGATTTATATCGCCTAAAATTGAATACGTTGAAGTGTTGTGTGCCTACTGTTGTGTGTTTGAATACTGAAATTCAGAAATATGTACACAGGAAAAACAAAAGTTATCGGTTAATTGCCACAGAAATTTGAATTGTTAGAATTTAATTCATCATAAAGTTTCATTTCAACTACCAAAATACTACTTTAATTTTTACTTTCCTTATGGCTCTACTCAGTTTCTAACAATTTCCTTCGATTCGTATACATATTACAACTTTGTAATAAGACAAAGGACTTATAAGCGAAGCAATCCGAAGATAACTGCGAAAGCTGCTCTGGTAGTTGACGAGCGTTAGCGATCAGGTGGTGAAGCCTCTTTCAACAATTTATATTTTCTGCTAAAGCTTCTCCAACCCTTCTAGAAAATCCTCGGTTATAAAATTGAATGCTTCACAGATGTTTCCATGGTGCCCATTCTTTAAGGAAGGATTGCACATTTTCTGCGTAGAATCACTATGCATGAAATAATTTCCACTCAGTAAAATGTTGCGATTTCAGCCATTAGATTTTCTGCAACTTTAATATGGTGCACCATCACCATGGTTCAACTGAAATCATCTTTAACTAAGGTTAAACTTAAACGAAATTTTAGACCTTTTGAAGAATGCAGCAAAATCCTACGTTTATTACGGCTAAGCGTAGAACCAATATCAGTTTGTTTTATCTAAATTTGTAACAAGGAAAATTTGTTTTATTTGGCCTCTTTTGGTTCACTTCACTTTTTTAACAATACCAATTAGATTAAGCCTCCTTATATTTGTATATTCGCGTTAAATTAGCTGGCTCAATTTATCTCCGTTATTCGATGCAATTTTGTCAAATTGAAATTATGCCACTTTTCTCAAAACATGATTTTTGGTGACCTTGCAATTTACGTAATCTAAGAGAAAATAAGATAATTATAAGTAGGGGAGAGTGGGGTCAATTGTAACAGGGTACGATTGTAACAAAGCAAAAATTTCGAGTATCGGGTTCTAGATTTGGTTCCTAGGTGGCGAACAAGATGTATTTAATAAATTCACATGTACACCCTTTCTGGCAACCATTTTTATGTACTTTTGTAAGAGTTACATCACAAAAGATATTTTCACGCTACGTAAGTACTTTTTTTGGTATTAGAATATTATATTGTAACAAAGTAATTTTGTTTAAACAAATAAAAATTATTAACCGAATATGTAAGTGGACACCTTAATTAACATTTCAAGAAAAAAAAGTTTAGTTTTGTTAATTAACTAGCATTGTTTTTAACAAATGAAGCTGAAATGGCGTCTTGGGGACGATTGTAACAATAAGTAAAGGGACGATTGTAACAGCTGAAAATAAATAATCTTGTGTTTACAAACCATTACATAACTCTTTAAGAACCACCAATAGTTTCCTATATCATTTATATTATGTTGCATGTGCATTATTTTATTTGTCACCTTTCACAGCATAAATTAATATTTTTAACCCCTTAAAGTTAAAAGTTTAACCCTTTAGGTCTCTGCTCATTATTATTTTTACTCCTAAAATATCACTACTATTTTGATCAATAAAAAAATATATCACATCTATGATAATATGTATAATTAACTGTGTTTTAGTTGAATTTATGAACTGTTACAATTGACCCCGTAAGTGGGGACAATTGTAACAAGTGCACGACTGTCGAAAATTGTTAATAACTGATATAATAACATTTAAAATAAGGTATTTATTTTCTTTCTAGTAGAGGATAGTCTACTTTACTCGTCTGTCAATTAATACTAATAATATATTGGATTATTTGTTAGTTAAAAATAGTTAAGTAAAAAATGTTACAATTGACCCCACTCTCCCCTACATTTCATGTTCGTTTGACAAGTTTTAGAACCTTGGAATACATGAGAGGATTGTCTCCTCCACTGTTCTAAAAATAGTGAAAGGAACAAAAATCCCAATTTAAAAAACTGACAAAGTTTTACTAATTCGCAATACAAAATTAGCTTCGAATATAACCTATAATTTTGATACCCCAAGTTGTAATATAGCTTACCACAGTGCTCTTCGTCAGTTCCATCACCGCAATCATCTCTACCATCGCATCTTTGCCTGACTTCATAGCAATTTCGATTCCTACAGTTACCTTGTTGCGCTCCACATAGCTCTATAAAATATAATTTACACTAAATGCTATTCTGCTTCATTTTTTAAAAAAAACGAACGAAAGCACGTATACGAAATGAAAAACAACTTAATTTTAACAATATTAAAATAGGAATCTTGGTTTTTCGTTTATGGAAATATAGAAATTTAAGCTTTTCAAAACGCAAGAAAATCTAAAACTGATGGAATCGTGAAGTAAATGGGTTATACAATATTTTTGTAAATAGGTATAAATGTTGTGTATATGTAAAAAAATTAAGATTTTGATGATCTACAGTAAGGGAAGTCACTACAGTATACTTTATTCTGCATTGAAAGGTTCCTACAGGCCAGCTTAAGGGTGTCTTGGAGTGAGATTCTACTTTCCTCGTTTCCTATGTTAACCTATAGAGAATTATATGATTCTTACACTACTCTTTATTTAGTCACTAATTAATATTTTGGAATTTTTTTTGCTTCGTTTTATACTTTGAAATGTCTACTATTAAGCTTCCTCACAAAATTATTAGTTGGAAAATTTTAAGTATTTTTAAAAACTTTTTAAAACTAACATGTTCTTTAAAAGACTGAAATTCAGGAGATAAGCTTTAATTACAAGTTTATTTTTAGCATTTTTGGAAAAATTTTAAGATAGATTTAAAGCTTAAGACACTCTCGTCAACTTAAGATTAATATTTTAATTCTAAGTTTTATACATATCACGTAAATCGTAAATCAGTCTCAGAAATTCTAATCATCAGACTCAAAATTTCCTTCCCCTTCTAAAACCGTTTTCAAAGAATTACCCGCAGCGAAAATTATCCTTTGTACCACAGGACGTTGAAGCCAGCTTTCACTGTGATTTATGACTCTCCCTACCACCTTTTCTTATGTGCATCCTCGTGTATTTCTGTTTGTATTTCATGCTTTGATTTCGCTGAGGAAGGTTTGTTATACGAATTATTCGAAAATCGAACATAAATGCTTTTAATGATACGAAAATATATACAGGGTGATTCTAAAAAGATGGGGAAAATTTTATGAAGTGATAGTACACACCCAGACAAAAAAATTTTATCAAAGAATGCATGGTCGAAAACAAAACGCAAAGGTGCTGGCGCAATTGGAAAGTTTTTTTATGCAACCGAGAAAGCTCCATTCCTATTGCGTGTTACTGCGCGACGTTATTTGTCGCCAAGCTTTCGGCCGCTGCAGGGAAACTTCGCCTATCTTTTCATCGCCGTTGTACCAACATAGCCGCTGCCGGCCACTGTTTTGAACACTTATTGTAATCACATGCCATTAAATTTGCTTTTATAACTTAGCTTCATCGTTCTTTGTGCGTTTTTGCCTCATATAAGAACATAAACTTTGACGCCCTCTAGCGGTTTTGGGTTTTGCTTTCGACCATGCATTCTTTGATAAAAAATTGTTTGTCTGGGTGTGTTCTATCACTTCCTTAAATTTTTCCCATCTTTCTAGAATCACCCTGTATATTAAATTTTTTCAACGATGAAAGCATTCAAATTCTATTAATAAAACTTTGATCCATCCCAAAATTACCAAATCCAATTTTGATGCATTTGGAAGAATGCGAAATTACCAATAGCAAAAGGGCAAGATTGGGAAAATGTTACTTCCTGATACACTATTTCTCTATCTATTAACATAGAGAAACCGGTTTAGCTATACGGTGAAGACTGCGGGTTGAAATATGACTTTTTACGTGCAGAACCGTCAATGGGTTTTACCTGAATGAGTAACGTTCTTGTTCTTAATGAGACTCAAAATGATTTCTGAAGTATGCAGCGCATTTTGTGATCACCCCCCAAAATTTTGAATTTCTGTAGTGGATGAAGGCCCAAAAACAAAAAGGAAATCAAACGATTCATCAGAGCGGAATTTCTGCTGTGGAGGAAGACCCAAAAACGAAAAGGAAATCAAACGATTCATCAGAGCGGAATTTCTGCTGTGGAGGAAGGCCCAAAAATAAAAAGGAAATCAAACGATTCATCAGAGCGAAATTTCTGCTGTGGAGGAAGACCCAAAAACGAAAAGGAAATCAAACGATTCATCAGAGCGGAATTTCTGTAGTGGATGAAGACCCAAAAACGAAAAGGAAATCAAACGATTCATCAGAGCGAAAGTTGGGAATGAAAACATTAAAAAAACATTTTTTCGTCCCATGTAACAGAGAGGAATTATCAAATAATTATTAAAAACTCCTTCAATTTCTTCCTTCGTGATGTTTCCATAACCGCCTTCGTTCAACCGCTTCCGTTCAAACGAGTTGCTAGATTTTCATAGGGTTTTCGTGCCTTTCTCCTCACTTAAATAAAAATTTTTGACACTTGGGTATACTCTTTTGACTGCATTCTTGACAAGAATTCTAAAAATACCTATCAAGTGTGTGATTGTGGAAAACTCAGTCTTACCTATTTTTGAAAGCATTTTTTGGGTAAAAATTATTGTGAAACATTTACAACAACATGTTTTATTTTTTTGTTTTTTTAATAAAAATATTTAGCTACCTTCAACTAACTAGGTGAGAGATGTTTCGAGTCCTATGTTAAACTTTTAAACTTACAATGGGTTGATTTTGAAATATCATGCATGTACAGGGTGTCCATTGAAGAACTGATATATTTCAAAATTAAAAATCTCGGAAACAAAGAGTGAAAGAGGATTGGCACAAACAGTTGTCTATTGTGAAAGCAATAAAAAAATTTATGCTAAAAATTTGTAGCTCGTTACAAAAATTGCCAACAAATGGCGTTGTATTGTGCACAGATTTCTTAGAAAGATTACAAATACCGTAGATTTCTAATTTCTGTACCAGAAACAAAAGTTGTTCAATTGAAAACATTTTTTTACAGCATTCACGGTAAAAATACAGTTCGTTTTATTCCTTTATCTCCCAGTGATTTCGAGATATTTATTTTCGAAAACAGTCAGTTCTCCGCCGAGCGCCTTGAGTGTATTTAAAACAAACATTCAGAACGTCTTACCGATATTTGGTGAAGCTTCATACTGCACATGGAATCCTTTTCCTTCTGAGGTATTTGTTTGAAAAGTCATTCTAATTTCGTTTTCACCTTCGTGAGATAGAACAGGACGTGGAATCAGACTCCCACAAAACACACCCAAATAACTTTCACCATCTTGATCCCTTAGTGCGAGCCTATCTGTTTTGCAGAGCTCTGAGGGTTTTATATCCATGTCTTTGAAGGTAATTTTTATCCTCTGCAAAGCAAGAAGTATGGTGTTTGGTAATATATATTTTTAAAAATTATGAGGAAAAAAGGCACACATTTGTTGTACTGGCGTAGCACGGCGGCGGAACTTGTAGAAAAAATTAAGCCAAATCTAAAATTTGTTGTAAAATTATTTCGACACGGAAATTTTGAATGCCGCATTTGGTTCAATTGATACAAAATAAATATTTAAAATTTTAAAATACATGTTAGGGATTAACTTTCCACATTACGTGCAAAAAATCTCTGTTTAATATCTAACTTTTTTTTAAACAGAAATAATCCAGCAACACATCTTTGTGAATCACGAAGTCTAAGTCTACTTGAGAATAAAGCAAGCTTGAGAATAAAGTTGCATTGTTAATTAGACAAAATTATTAAGTTTAAAATTTACTCAGTTGAATAATATAATCTAAAGAACCAAATTTGTCTAAAAACAATAAAACACTGTGATCTTCTGATTGAATAATTTATAATTTTAATGTACCAGTCAGTTTATTATTAAAAAAAATATAAATGATTGTGAAGCATTCCTTGGGCAGAGCCTCCTATTAATAAAAAAGATTAAATTTTACAGTTTTGTTTCCAAAGCATTTACTTACGTATCCATCAGGAGCTGTAATTTTGTAGGAACAAGAAAGTCCTTTTGCATAAGAACCAGAACCATAATTCGGACTTTTTATTTCACCTTTTTTAGAACCATCGTAAATAAATTCCTTATTGCAAATATTCTGAGCTAGAGCTTCTATAAGAAAAAAAGCATAATTTTTTAATTCAAAACATGCGTATGTACAACATCATAAGTACAATCAAGGTCGGAGAAAGGGGCAGTCACCCGGTGCGGCAGGTAAGGGGGCGGAGGCCGAACAAGACTCAGATTTCATGTTCTATAAATTATTTATTCCCTCCTTTTTTTAAAAGTATTATTTGCTTTAAAAATATATTTGTAGGTTATTTTTTTATTAATTACATGTTCTTAGATGAACTTTTTTTATGGTTTAAGTTCTCTAAGTAAAGATTTTATTAAAGATGAAAAGAAGAGTGTGCTGTAGAAAAATCATTTGTTGGACATTGAATAGAATAACTCTGACATTTAGTGAATTTTGTGACATTTAGTAATTATGAAGACATTTTAGTGAATAGTCGGATGAATGAATGAGTTTATAAATGCATAAAAATATTTTTAATTGTTTAACGGCAATTACAAAAAATTTTCACTTTTAAAATATTTTTTAGAAAAATGAGAATTGAATGCAAATTACAATATTGTCTATCGAAAATGATACTACACGAATAACTGGTTTTGAAGAGTCTGTAAAATTGCCCCCCCCCCCTAGTGGGCGTTGCAGATTCCAGAAGATGTGAAGAATTTATATACATGAGAAGAATTTTTAAATATTGAGTACACTTTAGAATTAATATTTTACTTTGAATTGAAAAATAAATGCATTTTTAGTTTTCCATAAAGTATATGTTATTAAAACAGTAATAAATTCTGCAATATATCGAGAAAAATAATACTAACCAGTTTTTTAGCAAAAATTATTTTTTGGTGTTTATATAAAAAAATTTTTACACCTAGAAGTTCGTGGTAATAATTTTTTTTTCTATTTAAAATTTCAACTATTCATTTTGAATTTTTATCAAAATATTTTAACAATTGTTTTTCATTTATCATGAACATAACGTAACAATAATTTAAGAATTTTTCAAAAAAAAGTTTATGTCAAAAAGTTATTTGACTCTCTACTTACTTAGCTGCGATGTTTACGAAAATGCTACGTTTTTATAAAAAAATCTATTTAAAATGTCAATCATTGGTTAGTTTCAAGAAACTTATTATGATTAAAATCAGCGAATGTAAAAACATTAATAATAATAAATAAAAAATAATTAAGGTATAAATGTTTATTAAGAGTTTTTTTAAGAAGGCGTTGAAAAATCGTGTCTTGTAAATTGGGTGATGTGTCAAATAAAGGTTGGTAATCTATGATAACGTTAGCCATTGTTTAAATTTAACTATAGAAGATTCTATTTTTTTAAATATTTTAAAGAGAACATAAGTGATATTAACTAGCGCATAGCTTTATTTGAATTCGAAAAGAGTTTATTGTTCGTACTTTTCTACACATATCCTTATATTGTATATTTTATGAATAAAGAAATCATAATTTTTGCTGGTTAATCTACTGGTTTATCTTATATGAAATACTAAGTAGAAGAAGGACCTTAAAAGATTTTGTGATAACAGTTTTAGAACAAATAGCAACAGCAAAACGTTTTTCACATCAAACTTTTTCTCATTGAAAGTTATCTTCTTTAATGACTTGGCTGGTGGAAAAAAAAATTACATATATTACAAATAGTTCTGAAACCCAAAATTTCAGAATATAATTTGGTACGTCTTTCGGAATGTTATTCCGTAATCACGAAGTTCTTCCTATAGTAATATTCTGAAGAACTCTGTAAAAGACATTTTATAACATAATAGTTAAACGAATATTGTACTTACTCTGAAGACAAAAGCAAGTTAAAAATAATATCAAAAATCCACTTAGAAACATTTGGCTATTCAAGTTGCAATCAAAAGAACCACAACCTTATAGTATGTAATTATTAATGTCGAAATTAAATTTCTTCACATGCTTAATATCAAGAGATAAAAAAACACCTGTATCTTCAAAAAAAATCTCCCACGATATTGATACAATATTTCTAAAAATTGACTGAGTGCCAAAGATCAAGTGATACAATTTGGCGCATGTTCTCAGGTTATGAAAGACATCTATCCGAAACCCTTTATTTTCATAAATACGAAATCTACCTGACATCGCACAGAAAAGATACTAATTCCCAAATTTCGTTTTCCTGGATTTCGTTCGTTCAAATAATATATAGAATTGAAAAATTTAAATTATTTTCAAAATATGTATTGCTTAATTGTTTTGATCGTAAAAATGCGTTTTATGCAAGAAATGCGCGAAATGTATTATGCTTCTTTAAGAAAGGAAATAAATGCTAAAAACTACCATCATATGCTTTATGCTTGCTCGATCTAAATTTTGGTAATGATAAAGTATACAAAGGTGCCAGTGTACTTCTGCGATTGCTCCAATCTACTTTTCTTTTCACCGTAGATTTCTAATTTCTGTACCAGAAACAAAAGTTGTTCAATTGAAAACATTTTTTTACAGCATTCACGGTAAAAATACAGNGGGAAATCACGTGGTAGGATCCAGTTTTCCCTCATTCATTTCTATATTGTTTTGGTTCTCACTAGCAAAAAAATAATAAAAGTCATAAAAGTATTTTTTTTTTCTATAAATATTTTTTTCGTTTGTTTTGATACTCATATAATTTAATAGGGTAGTATTTTTTATTTTCAAATTTAGTGGATAACAATTTAAAAAATTAGTGAAAACAATCCCACGGACAATGCGACGGATTTAAGGTTATGTCAAGGTACGTCTTTTGTTAATATCAATTGATTGTTAGGTTTTCTCTTTTGAAATTACATTATGACTCATTCACATGCATTATTAATACAAATATATTTTCCATGGCGAGACGATGAAGCAACCACAAGCACTTCCACTGGTTCAAGAGGTCCACGAGGGAAAAATGCACAATATTACAGTTATTACAGGGCACGGAAGCGAGCGGAGCAGGAAAAAGAGTCGTTGAATAGAACTAGTGATCCTTCTACGACTGCTGATTCTTCTACAATTAACGTCGCAGGTTGCGAAGTTTAACTTCTTCCGCGCTGAGGGACTCAACGCACTATTTTTTTTGTCGTATGCCTGTTTAGGCAGTGGGGGTGCGATTGTTCCTGTTTTTCAGTGGCGCCATCACACAACCACATTCACACAACCACAACCTGTTTATAGGGCGGGTCACATTCACACACAAAGGAGAAAGGATATAGAACACACAGAGAGAGAAAGAAACATCCATGCCTTGTCCGGGATTCGAACCGAGAACCTTTCTGATGCAAGGACAGTTCCCTGCCTCCTACACAGGCCGATCGGCGCTCCAGTCTACTGGTTTAAGCAATCAGATAAGTCAAAAGCGGTTAATAGAAGATTTCTAACTTTTTTCTATCTCAAGAAATACATAATTTAAAAATTCAACTCATTCTAAAGTATAATTTGTTGCAAATTTAGATTAAGGCAACAGCGCCTGCTGTTATCAGTTTCCCTTTTGAAAGAGCAAACATTTGACTGAAACGGTGAAAATATGAACGTAGTTCAAAAATATCATGTTTTACACAAACTTTATTTCATGAAAGAAGTTTAGAACTCAGGTTTTGCGGTTAACATATTTATCTTGAACTCGTAAAAATTTGCATGAAAATAGCGGCTAATCTAAAACAATGACGTGAATCTATAATTCGTATTTTCCAATAATCCTCAGTTGTAGTTGTTTGTTTGTTTATTTTTTTGAAAAATATACTGGTATATAAAACTGTTACCTCAAATCCTCCCAATTCGTTCTAGAAGAATAGTTTTACGAGGATTGTTTTCCTTCCATGTCAAACGATGTAATTATAGTTATAGATAGAGCTCACGCTTTTCCGTTTTCTATTGAAACTTCCTCTTTATTTGAAATAGTATATAAAATAAAATTCTAAAGTATTTGGGGTCTACAAACTAGTGGGAAGCTGCCATTTACTGTGTAACTTGTTTAAGGGAAGATTTAATGATGAAATGCTCGAATATTCGATGCCTCCCAACATCCTAACCATTGTAGTTTCCTTCCGGAGAGCACAAACAAGATTAGAACAAAAGGGGCCACTTTGGAAATGGAATCGAATGAAATAAAGCGCTTCTTTTTAACTCTTTCCTGTGCCTTTCTATTTTATTGGAAGTGGGAAATTGAAATGTATTTTTTTTTCTCGATAAACCATTTCTCCTGAACATTGACCAGATACACAATCGGTAAGTCTAATTTTTTCAAACCTTTCCTAATCGAAAGTTGTATTCATTGAAATTCATGTTAAATCATGAACTAAAGTTTAAATAATCTTGTTTAACATTATGTTGCAGGGTATAATAAAAAAAAGAAGTTTTTTTTAATTTATTTTGAATTGTTTTATGAAAAGAGAAAGCTTTTCCCTTAAAATCTTTAGACGTAATTCGCAATCTGTAACAAGAATAACACTGATTCTTACTCACAAATTTAGAAGCATATTGATCTATAATAAAGTTTAAATTTGCTGATACTTAAATATGGTGCCAAACACGCCCTTATTTTGGCACTATTGTCGTTTGAAAATCGAAAAATCTGAATAATTTTTGAATTAACGATCGGAATTTGAAGTACATAGTGTCACTCTCAATGGTTCTAGGGCCGAATTTAGTATATACTAATTAATTAATGCAGACAACAGTTAAAGAAAAAATGCCAAACACAGTACCGCACTTTCTATGAATAAACATGCCTTCTTCTTTATGAAAGTAAGATCCCAATAGATCATACAGGAGAACAATTGAAAACTCTCAATGCTAATTTCACTTTTTGCCTATTTCGCTATACCCCTAGAACAATTTCAACTAAGAAAAAATATTTTACACACACTTCTAAAACTCGGTTTTTCAAGTATAAGGTATGCATAATTTTACAATACGAAATTAAAATTTTAAAAGGAAGTAATTGTACATTTTTTGAGAAATGGACATTTCAAAACATAATTTTATTATTGAACTATTTTACGCAAAAACTATTCGCTTAATTTTGTTTTTTATCATTTCAAATTATACAGTTTTGAAAAACGTAGAAATGTGTTCACTCTACGATTTAAATTATTTTTGAACACTAATAAATCAAATAATAAAACTTAAAAGAAAATAATCATAAAAACATTCTAAAGTTGCATGGAATAACTTTTGAATAATCGAGTTTCACAATTGTGCGCAAAAAGTTTTAACTCATTAAAATCATTTTAAAGACATTGTGAAATACAGGAGATGTAAAATAAACATTAAAGGGGGTCAAAAGGAGATAGCTTTTCTTATAAAACACATGAGACCATAATGTAGAATCGAGATTATAAGTACGGTTTCAGCCTAATGGATCACATTTTTAATGCCACAACAATGAAGCATTGAAAAGAAGGCTATTTTTATTCAAAGAAAGTCTCTTTTGCGTCTAATATCGGAACTAAAGTCATCAATTTTAAATTATATCATTAATAGTTTTATTATCGCTATTATAGGTTTGACTATAAATTTCAATAACTTACCATATATTTATTATTGCATATTCAATTACTTTTATAAGTAACTGCATTCAATATATTGAGTATAAAGCTTGATATTAATCTTACATACAAAATACACGTTATTGCTGCATACATAATTTCGAAAACCATAATTTTTTCATTAAAGTGATTAGAACGTATAAAATGGACGCTTCAATTTCTTAGAATTATATTTTTGAATTTTTCCTTAAATGATAAATATCAAACTGCATGTTTTTAGCTTTTGTTTTTACCGAACATCTAATTTTGGTTTCAAATTTCAGTCAGGCGACACATTAGAAACTGAGACTTCAAACGGTGTATTCTTATTGAAGAGGCATTTATTGCTTAACAAATTGATTTTACTAAAAATTGTTGAATGTTTAGAAGCAAATAGTTTTGCATTTCTAGTTGCATGTAACATTTTTTGATTAAGTGTTGCCAGATTGGTGCTTGAAATGATTAAACTAGATTGAATATTATTTTCCTATGCCCTGCACCTCTAAGCATTCCTTTACTCTGCTCTATACAAAATTTCCTATATCTAAATGTAATTTATGGCGTAATTAGATTATAATAACAGTCTTTAATTGATTGAGAGTTTACCGATAAGAAACTCAAAAGAAAAATCCATTGAATTAAAGGTAACTTTATTGGTCTCTAAACAGTTATGTATTTATTTTCTTGCTTTTACAATTAATCTTAGCGATTCAAAGTACCTATTACAAACAAAATTAGTGATTAAAGGAAGAGCTTAGGGGAAGAACCGATTAAATGACAATGGATATTTCTCGGGGAAAGTTCTTATTTAATCTCATTTAAATATGTAACATTCATTTCTATTGCTAAATCTATTGATTTCGAAGATACTCAATGGAAGAACCAGCTAAGTGACATTATTTGAGCATTCTTTCGATGGAAGAACCGTTTAAGTGACTTAGCGATTAAAAGTCAATAAACAACCTTCGAAAATCATTTGCTTGACAATGAATGCTAAGGAGCGGGAAGGAAAAAAATGATGAAAATGAAGAACTTGAAGGAGGAATTTATATATATGTTACCGTTAAAGTATGAAATCCGTTTTTTTATAGAATACCTAGTTATTCCATGAAATAACTGATCGTGTCCGTTAAAGTGTAAAACTCTCTTGTATTTCACAGTTTAACTAGTTATTTCATAGAATAACGATCTGCAGCCCGTTAAAGTGTAAAATAATCTATATCATAATCATATATCTCGCACGACAAATACATTTACCTTCCACCCCTACTGCATTTATGAACTATTCAACAAAAAATGTTTTTGTTTTAGAAATAATGTTCTTTGTAATTCCAAGTGTCATTTTAGTAATCCTTGTTGTAACAAATGATTTTCTNATCTGCTAATTAATTAGATAATTTATAGAATACCTAGTTATTTCATAGAATAACTAGTTAAAGTGTCAAACTAATAACATATTACACACTTTAACGGATTCGATCAGTTATTTCATGGAATAACTAGGTATTCTATGAAATAACTGCATTATATACTTTAACGGTAACATATATATTTTTTGGCAATCAGTAATTAAAGACAAGAAATAATAACCCTTAAATAGATTCAACAAAGAATTTTTTTGTTTTTGGTTCGCATTAATTTCGCATTTTAGTTAAATTGTCAATAAATTTTTTATTTTTTTCTAAGCAAAGGCACTTTGAAAATAAATATGCTTTTGTGCTTATACAACTTTTTCAATTTATTATTATTGTTGACATCCGGACATAATTAATTAACTTCAAAATTTATCAATAATTAGTTATTTAAATTAAAGAAATTTCAATAATGAATAACTGTTTCACTTACGTCTAAATAAGTGCAAATTTGAAAAATGATTGCTTGGAAGTGAGCCCCGTGCTTGAAAGATTTTAACTATAACTGAGAAAAAGACACCTGTGTATTTCATAACCTTAAATAATTAAAAAATTCAATATTTTAGGCTTATTTTGTGTTAAATTAATAAAAAATATTGACAAGAGTGTGTAAAAATACGCTTAGTAAAAATTCTGCATGAAAGAATTAAATATCAATTTATTTCCATGCAATAAAGTTAGTTAAACAAGAAAATTTTGAAAACTAAAAATATGGTTAAATTTTTGTTTTTCATAAGCTAAATCACGTTACTCAAATTTGATAAAAGTTACGTGGAAAAAAAACGAAACAAAATTTTGCTTGCGAAATAATAAAACAACTAAACTATTGCCAAATGTACGAGTTTTGAAGCTGTTTATGATAATTTTCTTTAAAGGTATGTTATAAAAATTACTATTATTATATGATTGAAAGAGTTTATAACAACGTAGTTAGGAAAGTAGCCCCAAGAATAGGAAAGTTGTCGGAGCCACACGTGATCAGTCTTGAGGAAGTATCTTTCAAACTTCACTTTCTTACTCCATGTCAAAATCGTAGCATTGAATTTGCTTAAAATAATATGCCTAAATACGAATACAAAATTGCTTAAATACTAATTAATTGATTTTGATCTTCATGTAAAAATGTAACACTATTTCTATGTTTTGAGTTCATTTCCGAAGTTTTCTATTTGAACTATTTAAAGAAAACTAATGTTTTATATATTAAAAAAATTATTTAACATGCAAAGGAATAAATAACTTGATTAAATTGCCGAGCATAGCTATCAGGACTTTTAAAAGCTGATTGGCCATTTAACATTATTTTTGAGCTCATTAGATACTTTGAATGATTTAAGTTAATTTTAAAGCAAAAAAAAGGAACATTCCTATTATTTTGGGATGTCATAGGACTTGGCTCCTAGATACCTTGTCAAGTATTTCATGTTAGGGCTATAGAGTACTCGTTTCATTTTTTTTCAGTAATTTTTAGCTCTCAATCACTCACAAATTGCTACCATAAATCGTAACAATCTTTCTACGACACATGAAGGGATATTTGAAGGGATATATGAGTTATAAATTACAGAGTTTTATGCAACAATTTACCCTCTCTAACTATATCAGATACAGAGACTGTAGCATCACTCAATGATATTAACTTTAGCGTTTTTATAAATTAATAATTATTAATTTCTATAACCCACTTTGTTTCTATAACCCACTTTTGTAAATAAATAAGTAATATTGATAACTTAAAACAAACAATAGTAGTTTTAAATATGATTTCATGATCATTAGTTAATTCATAAATTTCTTTTTATTTCAGACATATAGTTCGGCAAGAAATGATTTTCAAACAAAACGTTTTAAGCCATTGCATCCTTAAAACTACATTCAGCTGCGCAAGGAACAAACTTCCTCAAATCATTATACTCTCAACTATAATTTATTTGTTGTTATTCATCACTAAAGATATTTTGAAACAGTCACAGAATAATTGCCCCCTTAGAAAAGACGACGTTTGGATAGAAATACCAGCTCCTGGTCAAATCCGCAGTATTGTTCGCACTCAAAATGTTAAAATTGAAAATTCTCAATCGAAACAGAAGCTCATTTTACTCTGGACTAAATACTTCAGCTCAGAGTTTTCAGAAGATTTTTACTTCTTCGAGAGCGGCCGAGCAACTTTTGAACGCTATAAGTGTTACGTAAGCAATTGCTTCGTAACGTCAAATAGGTCTTTACTGGATGTTGCAGATTCTGTGCTATTCCACGCTAGTGATTTCAATGCATCAGACATACCAGAAAGACACAGCATGAAGCAAATATGGATTATGTACAGCATGGAACCACCGAGGAATATGCACCTTTTAAAATGGGGACTTGTTAAGTCCCTTTTTAATTGGACTATGACATATCGTTCAGATTCACAAGTCCAGGTGAAATATGGTGAGGTCATCGCTGTTAACAATTCGTGTCGAACTTCTGGCATTATTGATGTTAATCGCAAGAAAAATGGCGCCATCTGGATGGTCAGCAATTGTAAAACTGAAAGCCGACGTGAGGCTTATGTTAAAGAGTTGAAGAAACATTATAAAGTTGACGTCTATGGATATTGTAGTCGGAAGAATAAATGTCTGCCAGCCCAATCAGAACGATGTTACAAACTGCTTGAAAGTTATAAGTATTATTTGGCTTTTGAAAATTCTATCTGCCGCGATTATGTAACTGAAAAACTTTTTAATGCTTATCACTATAACATTCTTCCAATTGTGTTCGGTGGAGTTCAGTACGAAGAAGTAGTTCCTGCTCACTCATTTATCGATGCAACTAAATTTCCAGATCCCAAAGATTTAGCGAATTATTTGAACTATATTGCCAACAATTCATCTTTATATGAGAGTTTTTTTGACTGGAAGAAGCATTTTACAGTACATTTACATCCATGGATGTGTAAATTCTGCGAACATCTACACAATCCACGAATAGTTTCTTCCACATTACCAACAAATTTGTGGAAATGGTGGATAAAAGATGCTTCTTGTCGTAAATGGACAAAAAAGAAAAGTTTTGTAGGTTTTTTTAGTAAAGGTAAATTATTATGAAAAATTCAAATCAAAAAAGTTTACATCCAAGTTTTGTGGGGTTTTTTACTAATGGTAAATTATTACCAAAAAAAATACACACAAAACTCTATTACAGAGATTTTCATTTTCCAAATTAAATGGTTATTTTTTTTATGTTAGTTACTACTTAAAAACCAATATTTTTTCCAAAAAAAAATCAGACAAATCAGACAGATTTAGATGCTTGACATTTTCAATTTCCTTGAGGAAATTTTCAGGATATGTAAATCTATTGTACATATTCTTTTTTAACTATTGTATATGTTTAAGATTCGCTTGATTTTTAAGAAAAACACATCTATTTACAAGTGGCAACACGAGTGAATCACAGCACTAACCGTTATTTTATGTTCTATTACGTTTACAATAACTATTAAGTCATACTATTAAGTCATTACTAAGTAAGTTATAACTATTAAGTCATACCAAAAAGTCCTCCAAGGAGACAAATTTCCCCCAAATACTTGATCCAGGAGTTCCCTTGTCTTCTGTGTTGGGTTTAAAATTACAAGGATACGTAGTTAAACATTAATAGTCGTACCAACAAATTAGAATTTCGAAGAAATATTTTCTTTGCTTTCATAAATAAAAATGGTTCATGCAGCATGCTAAATTTAATCCCGTAGATGCCTTTCAGCAGACAACATATTGATCAAACAAAATATTTTTCCTACAAATTATATTTCATGAACTTTATGTCTAATTTAAAACCTTTTTACTTCTCGTCGTACACCTTGTACTTTTTCCTACATGCCTTCCTAATTTCAAGATTCTAAGTCTTATAGATTTTGAGCAACAAATCAAAATGTTACGCAAAGGAAAAAAAAGTGATAAAAATGTGAAAAAAATGGCACTTCCCCATTCTTCTAAGTTCTAAAAGTTCTAAAGCATTCCCCATTCTTAGTGTTTAGATTTAAATACAACCTTTAAATTGTATACTTAGTGTTTTCATGAAATTGAAAATCCAATTTTTGGAGTTTTTCGACACTAATTTCAGAGAGGTATAAAACCACAGTTTTTACAGTTTATTCAACTACAATGAAGAGCCTAAACATTATGACCACAAACTCAGTGACTCATTATGTCACCTTTAGGCTTAAACAGCTGCAACTCGTCTTGGCATAAATGCTACAAGTTCTTGGTAGATAGCTGGTGACAGGTTGCACCAAATATCTAAGCAGCGATCCTGCTCTGTCGAGACATTTCGACATGCTGTTGTTTGATCTTCAATACCTTGGCATCTACTAATAGTTTCACCGCCGTATATCCACTTTGCATAAATACTTACAACAGCAGATCGTGAACAGCCTTCCAGTTGGGCACTACCGGCGATATTCGTTCCGAGCCTTCGGACCATTACAGTATGCTCTTTAAATAATTTGCTTAAATGCTTTGCCATCATTCTCAAAAGTAAATACATGAATGTTTCCAACCTTATCCAACAGCACTTTATTCAGACGAGTTCATTTAATATTTTATTTTGTAACCGGCGTTGAACCCCATATCTTACTCCGAGTATATGACTACCAATGTTCCTTGTTTTATTGAACCCAACCTAGAAGACAGGGGATCTCCTGGATCAAGCATTTGGACAAACTAGCCTCTGTGGAGGATTTTTTGCAAACTAGTCTCTGCGGAAGACTTTGCAACGATCCCACATTTGCGATTCATGGAGTGGAAAATCAGGAAAAGCTCCCACGGACTGTCCAACGGCAAGGTGATTTTAATCCACTTACTATTGAAGGTATTTTACGCCCGAATTCTTATCATCTAGTCGCCGCCTGTACTCGAACCTGGGTCACCTCATAGGTAGGCGTACGCTTTATCCTCTGAGCCACTGTGACTCGGAGACGAGTTTATTGAAAAATGTAGGGGTGGTCATAATGCTTTGGCTCATGACTGTAGCAGCTATTCCAAATCGGAATACGAGGTAGAGCAGGGACTAAGGGAAGATAAGAAACACTAATATTTTCAATAATTTTCTCCAAATACTTTAAAACTCACCCCGGTAAAGGAGGCAAACTTCAGTCATTCGTATTGAGTCTTTGCCTCCTCTGTCCCCTACACTTCAGTACATCCAAAAGTGCAATTAAAACTCACTGCGGACGAGAAGGCAAACTTCAGTTATTCTCACTAGGTCTTTGCTTCCTTTTAACCCTGCACTTCAGTATATTCAAAAGTAAAATTGAAACTCATCCCAGGAGAGAGGAAAAACTTGAGTTATTCATATTGGGTCAATACCACAACTTTTAAATCAATATCCAGATATTTTTCCAAATTGTTCCTGTTGCTCTTGAAATAGGCCTCAAAATTTTGAGTCGCATTACACAAAAGTTACCATAGATGTAAGAATTGATTTTGTTTCTGATTTTAATGCTTCGTTTCAAGCTGATTTCTAACCTGGTCAATTTTGGAGCAAGCAGGTTAATGCCTTGAAACTTTTTCAAAGTTTTAGTTTTGCACGATTTCAAGCATAAATATTCATATAAGTCAAAAGAACACTACGTATGTCTTTTTCTTCCTATATACTTTTTCAGTGAAATGTACAACTATGTGGCTCACTATTGGAACAAATCGATTTTAACAGTCAAAGTCTAAGAAAAGTTTTTATTTCGCTGAATGACTTATGAACTTAATAAAAAAATTTGTCAAAACAGCTGAATATGTTTCTGAAATATGTACTGATGACAAAATGAGAAATTTTATTGTAAGTCAAAATGAGAAAGATAATTTTGTGTCACCCTGTACATTTGTATGCTTGAAAAAATTGTCATACCATTCAAAAGTTTCTTCTTTTTAAAAAAAAAATTATCTATTTTAAAAATTTTCTTTTTTTGAGATTTTGAATTTTCGAATAGAAATTCCACTGAATTTATATGAATAACAGTGAGTTATGTCAAAGTCTATCTTTTCTATTTTTAATATGTCAGTGTGATGCTCTCTCCTTCTCTCTCTGTTTTCTATCTATCTATCTTGATCTCTTAAGTCAAAAACAAACATGAACTATACCTTCGTCATAAATGTAGACATAGATATAGAGCCGCTCAGAAGCCAATACGGTTAAGTCCATTTTTTGATATTTTCTGATTTTTGGAAATTTTGATGAAATAAATAATAATCTTCTTAGTTATTAAAGGATTTACTCGTTGGTTACTTTTTTCTAGGTTAGAGAGCCCTTTTTTAATAGCTTCTGAATATATTGTATAACAATTTCAGAAGCCATTGTGAATAAGTCAACCTTTTATCAATCTTTTTTTACATAAACTTTGAAATAAAAATTAAATTCTTCTTTCGATATTTGTTGGTAACACTGAAAAACAAGAAATTCATAGTAACTCAGGGTTGCCAGACGTAGTATTTTTAATACTACGGTAGTATTTTTTTCACCAAAAAAAGGGGTATGGTATTTTTCGCAGTATTTTTTTAAAATGTGGTATTTTTTTTTAATTTATTTATTTTATTTTCATTTCCTAAAACAAAGAAAAGTGCCACTCTAGTTTTGAAGTAAAAAACAATTTTTGAAATAATCCAACAGTTTATTTTCTATTAGTCACTGTATCTAGTGATGATTGAGGAAAATAAAAGTTCGTTTATACTAGTAGACATAAATTTCTTTCTTTCTCAGCTGACAAAAGGTATAAGTCCTAAAATTTTTAAGATGCTATCATTATTTCAATAAATACTTGCGTTTTTATTTACACATCCTGTACATATCTTGTTTTTTTACAGAGTTTACACCTCGAAAAAAGACTTTATACACATTTCTAATTAAATTAATAAACCAAGAATTTTAAAAACTAATGTATCAAAAAACATTAATTTTCTCAATTGTTGTGTTTTGGACTTAACCGCATTGGCTTCTGAGCGACTCATTTACCAACATTGGCTGAAATGTGAGTAATCAGAAAATAAATTAACACATCCTTTTTGTTCCAATAGGCGGAAATTTATTGACTTTTATAACATGCAAAAGTACAAATATTTGCAAGACAATCACCCTACGCAGTTTTTTTTTCCATTTAAATTATTATCACTTTCAACAGTATCAATTAACTGTGGCTTTCAAGCACTGACCAGAGCGGGCGAAAATTTCCCGGCACACATAATGCTTTTGTAATTTTATTTCCAATACTCCTTTTTATTTATTGTTTTGCTCAAATTTTTTAGCATAAAAATGCTTCAAAATATAAAAGGGTGATGCAAGCCAGTTAAATTAAGGAAGAAAACAAAAAGACAAAAAATAACAATTTCACATACATAAGCGTGCTGAAAAACAACTGATTACAGACACACGACATTATTTTGTTTTCATTAAAATAAACAAGAAAAAAAATAATTTGCAAAACGAAGAAATCTCCCGACAGTTACATAAAATTCCTAACAATGCGAAAATAAAGAATTGTAAAAAAAAAAAACAAAATTGATAGCTCTTTCTTATATTTATTATTTTTGTTTATTTATCAAGCCAAAACCCTTCAAGCCAAAATTATGCAGTAAAAATACATTTAAATAAAATAAGCAAATATACATAGTAAACTGCTTGATGTGGCTAACATTGAAAATCTGCAATGTGTAAATAAATGTGTAACGTAGCTTCAAAAACACCAACTTCTTACTGAGAAATCATAACTTTCAAATCAATCCTAGTTTTCTAAGTTCAAGAATAATCTTCAATTTAACTATTCGTTTAGCATGATAGTTTAACATTTATAATAAAAGAAAAACTAATTTTTTTTTCCTCCACATGAAAATCATCATTCACTTTGATAAGTTATAGAATCTGATAAGAAGTTGTTGTTTACCGCTTGAAAATCTATTAATAACATATTCAAAAAGATGCGCAATCACATTAAAGGTAATAAATTAAGTACATACTTAGATTAAATTTCACACTAATGAGATTCCTAGGTGAGCATAATAAATAACAATAAAGAGCAATATCTATATACTCATTATACCTACACATGCACAAATTATTTAAAACGGCAC